TCGAGGGACATGACTTTTTTTCCGAAGGCAACAAAGTGGAGGTACCTTAGAGGTGTGCGTGTGTGAGTGTGTTGTGTTTCAGTTATTTGTTTTGAATGTTAAGTTTTCTAGCGTTTGTTTTTAATTCTTTCCATGCAAGCCTATTAGCATACACCTAGCAGTTAATATAGATATGAAAAATAAAAATGCGGAAATTTGAATCTACGCTATTACAATGCTTCCGGATGAGGGGAATTACAAAGCAAAAAATGGGGGAAAGACAAAGTAAAAAGGTCTTAGTTAAACTATTACATCATTTATACAGTTACATAATTATGAAAAATAATGTGAATAAATAAACAGACGCGCGGGGGAAGAAAGAAAGAAAAATGAAAGGATGGAGAAAAAACCTAAGAAAAATCTCTAAGTGATGAAAGAAATGTTTTTGTTGTTTTAATTTGTTTTAGGAAAATATTTAAACTAAATTAAGAAAAAGAAAACTTAATTCTAATTGATTTATTAATTTTAAAAAAATGATTATTAATAACTAATTAAAAGTTAATTCTAATTAATGAAAAAAATAATTCTAATCTTTTGTATTTTTGATTTTATGAGGTTTTTATGAGTTTTTATGAAATTAAAAAAAGAAGAATTAAATTAAAGAAACAAAATTAAAAAAGGAAAAGAGTCTTGTTGTAAAGAAAACTGAAGGGTGAGAATCAAGTAGTTGAAAACACTTATCTCAAAAGCTGTAAAGGGAAAGCGGACACCCAAGATTGAGAAGAGATACTCATATTGAGAGATTGTGCAGTTACTGTATTCACTGCATAATCTATCATTCTCACCATGGATGGTGAGACCCCAAAGTGGCGATTCACCCACCTCAACGAAATCTTTATTTGAACTTCTTTATTTAGTAAAGATAGAAATAGTTGATGAATATATAGAGCCTCCTCACGAGGATGATGGATTCACCAGACTCCCTCTCATGTTCTTTCGCGGTTTCTTGGTCATATCACGTTAGTAATCTCAAATACAAGAAGGCGAAATTTCAGAGGGAGAAAGAGGTAATCGCTAAAGAATAAAGAAGAAAGGAAAGTATAAATGGAAAAGACTCCAGTTCTTCCTATATTTATATATTAATAGTGTAGAAAGAAAGATGTCCAATCAATAATCACATCTCATGCATGTAACACTAGAATATTTTGGTTCCCAAGAAAGATCATAATTACCTCTTTGAATAAATGTTTGATGTTCTAATAAACCGGAGCGTGAAAAGGGTGTTCGATAGTTGAAAACTAAAATCTTCAAACCCTCATCTTGATATCTAAGCACTAGGGTTTAAGGGAAAACTGAATTGTTATGGGTCAGTCGTATCTTCTTTATCCGGCCATCCTGAGACGAAACACTCCAGATCTCGATGCATTAATCAGACACGCAATCAATTTATAGAATATTCTCTTAGCTACTGGACTATATTGTACCCGACTATAGGAAATCCACGCTTCAAGTACATCCAACATCCTCTGCATTCCACACTTGAAAGATAACGAGGTCGTTATTCCTTTTTCCTATATATGGAATGGCGCCATTTCATGTAACAAGTTTAAAAAACAATTTGAATACTCTCTACTCATTCACATACTGACTTGAGCATTGGAGTATTAACCTTATAGATATATCCTCGCTCTATCGCAACAGAAGCTCTCCTCCACCGCAGTTTCTGTAATTCTTCATATTCCTGGTTCCAAAATGGAACAACTCATATAAATCCATGTTATCCTGTTGCCCTTAGTTTTCTATTTATCTAGAGAAATGGTTTTATCACTTATAATAAACTAAAATAACTAAAAAATAATAATAAAAGAGAAATAATATTTTTGACGGGTTATCTTCCATCTAGCATTTGTCTAATGCCATTATCTTTGGGGTGGATTGGTCACATTCAACACAAAATTCATATTCTTCATTGAGATGAGGGTGTCACACTACCAAAAATAAAGGATCATATTTTGAATTGTGTTATTGAACCTTTCCACCAAACCATGGGCTCAAGGCATAATAGATTAATAAGATAAAAACACCTCATAATTGATTATATTAACATCATAATTGGTTAAAAATGGAGTAAAGTTCCATGATCGATTATGTTTTTGCAAAAATGTCTTTTGCTTTTTCTAAAGAGTTTTTTCATAAGTGTATTTCATGAGTGCGCATATACTTTTAATACTTAGAGAGCATCACAATATTTTTACATATTGATCCTAAAAAGATATTAAATTCTCGAGTTTTAAACCGGAAGTGTGCTCAGAACAATCAGGTTTGCTTCTTGATGTTATTATTTGAAGATTGTACTTTTTCGAGTCATTCATCAGAAAGTATATTTTGCGCCTTTTCATTTATTTTCATTTTGATGATGTTAATTATGTCTGACCTTGTTACATCATCATCAAAATATGTATGCACATAGAACTACATTCTCCCTCTTTTTGATAATGACAAAATACATTTCAAAGAGGTGGCTTTGTAGAATGTTTAAGATGAAGAAAAATAGAGTTTTAACTCCTCTTGACAAAAACTAAAAATAATCACCCATTCCCACTAGGAGTATAGTTAATCCCTTTTTGATATTATAAAAAAAAATGGGGGAAAACAAACAAGAAGGAAGATAAGAGATGCACATAGAATATTTAATTAATGTAGGATTAATTCAATATTCCTAATTCAATATTCCCTTTTCATTTGCATCGATCATCACTTGATCCTGCCAAAATTCCCTTGAGAAGAAATTCTTCTTTTTCTTCACTAAAAAACACTCTCTTGAATTCATAATCACATTTTGATTCTTTAATATGTAAGCAAAAACATTACATCACCTAATGCACCTCACAACTACCACTCTTTCTCACTTTTGAGTTGAGTAACCATAACAATGATATCTTTGGTTATAGGTATAAGATGGAGTTTTTCAGACAAATCTCACACAAAACCCAAGATCACACTCAAGAATTCAACCCAAGAAAAAAAATTCAAGAATGAATTGAGAGAGAAGGCTTGTGTGGTTGACAAAACACTCTTAATTTTTCAAAGATTCTTAAAATTATTAACATTCATTGCTAGAGAGAGAAAATACTTAATTTATATATGTCTTAGAGATAAGGCATAAAATTGGTGAAAAATAGCAATTTGGTTTGAGTAAAAAAAACCTAAAGGATGATTCGGATCAAGTGACTTGAATGAATCAAGATGATAAAAATAGGATTTTGCTTGCATGGTTCAAGTCATACTTGACTCATGTTATTCTAGTCAAGTCATTCCATGACTTGAATCACATATCTATAATTGAATTTCAATTTTGAGAACTCTTTCATGATTCGAGACACACAATGTTGTGACTCGAGGAAATATACTTTTTGATTCGAATCAAGAAAACCCTTGAAAATCCTTTTAGCGCCAAAATCTAGTTTTTTTTTGTTTACTCGTGATTTGATTCAAGCAAAGTTGTGACTCGATTCATGCTTGTATAAAATCTTCATTCAAGTCTCTAATGTGTGATTCAAGCAACATAAAGGTTGACATTGGTCAAATGCTCAAATTTTAAAAATATTGTTAATGGTTTCAACCTAATATAGAATCATGAACTGTTGTGAGGTACACAAAATACAACAAAAAATGGTGATATCAAAAACGCGGATAAACACCAAAACAGATAAAAATGACACTTTTATCGAAAGAGCAATTTCAATATCTAGTTTTTGCCTGAGATAGTGACACCGTGAAAAACAATGACCCGCAAAGTCCAAAGGCCTAAGATAGAGAATATTTGTACCTTTAGGTGACGTCGGGATAATAACCTCATGGCATAAATATCTTTTTCATTCAATAGTAGGTTCTAGGACTCAATAAGTGATTTTTTGCACATGTCTTAGAAAGAGAGCCAAAATCGAAGCAAGGGAGGGAGAAAAAGGTAATTGTAAGATAATAGGACAAGTAATATCTCGAGACTTGGCAGAATGAACAGTTTGGATAAGAACCGGAAAACGAAAAAATCTACGAGGATGCCTATAAAAGGAGGGTGCAGATATCAAATCAAGTACACACAAAATTCTTTTTACTATTAATTTTCATCTCTAATGATCACTTACTTGCGCCTCAGAGTGTGTGTGGGTACCCCTGGCTCTTCTCACCTTTTGATCATCTTGAAAACAAGGAAGGACCTTTCATCCCTTACATCAAGTTCTCAACCATTCCAAAAGAAAGCTTCCTCACTATAAGGAACACTCATATACTCTAAACTTCTTAAAATCTTTTAGAAAAATTCCACTCTGCTGAGAATCTTGCTTCTCTCTATGATACTACATTAGACTCATAACAAAAAAATGTGCTTATCTCATTTGATATTGCACTTATGTAATACATCTCTCAAGAAATATTGTATTACACTCCGTGATTCAATTTTGGGTGTGCTTCTCTCAATTGATACTACACTTGTATAAGACTTATTGACTAAATGACTCCAAACAGAAGAGGGATGAAGTGAATTGTGATATTTGAAATTCAAAAGTGATATATAAAAAGCTCTTGATTTTGAAAATTTTATGTTAGAATAAATAAACGAACAGAAAAAATGCAATGGAAAAATAGAAAGAAGATAGAAACACAGTGGAAAGAAAATAAACAATTGAAAATAAAATAGTTAATTGATAGAAAAATTACATCAGAGAATTATCTTAATTGGACATAAATCACTTGGCTACTCCATTTCCCGATAATTCTCCTTGAGATTACCTTTAAAATCTCTATGAAAAATCAAATTTCATATTAAAAAGAGATAGTGGTTTCAAAATAGTTTATATAAGTGACACTACTAAATTTACAAATAGATTTTATAAAGAGAAACTAGATTCAACATAAAAATCTAATAGTTGCAATACTTAACATGTCTTAACTTGAACTTGTTGCAGCATCTCTGAACAATCATAAGCCTTAGCAGCAACAATCTCACTGTCAAATGTTCCTAATCAAACCCTGCTTCCTTTGCTTGTTGGGTCACGAATCTCTGCGGCAAATTTTCTCCGTGGCCTTCTCCTCACTCCTCGGTAACACTTTGTTCCATAACATCTCTGTTCCATCTTCTCTAACATCATTGATTCGACCGAATTCGACGTCTTCTGTGTTTCATCAAAGGGACTTTCTGCTTTTGAGTGTCGTACCTTACTATGAGAAGTGAAATCAATAACTTTTGTATCAGCTTTAAAACCAAGACTCTCAAGGAAGCTGTTTTGTTCTGAAAAATATGAATCTTATCAATCTCAATTTTCCAGAACTGAGATTGGTCGAGTCTGATATATCCTCTAAGAGATGTTGCCTCAATAGTTTCAAACTTGAAGTTTCTTCTGATGCTGCCATATTTATGCATTTTAGATGATGAAAAAAGCATGATCAACTAAGATATATATAAAAGAATTATGTATAAGCCTGTTACTGTAAAAGAGTCTCAATCAAATTCTCTTATAAGGTGATACATGAGAATTGATATTGTTGTTGATGAAGTGGACTCTTATAGTTCCTTACACGACTTACACTCTGAGACAGTGTATCTTATCCAAATTACGTTGTTACAAATATTTGGATGTCCCATATTGAAGTAACATAGTCTTTAGTTAGACATTCAACTTGAACCTGGCATTTAGCAATAGAAATCGTGAATTGCTCAATAGACTCTTATATAAGCACATCACACTATGAAAATTTAAAACTATCATTCATGTGTTCATCTCATGACGTATTCAAATCACAATCAAAATATGATACTCTAAAATCCACCATATTTTTTAACAAAATATGGTCCGGAGATGCATCTCCGTATTGGTATTTGGTATATCAGGAGATGCATCTCCGAAATGTCCCCTGAAAATTTTTGGAAGCGTGGTAAATACAAAGGGGAAATTATTTCAGAGATGAATCTCTGAAATCCTCTCTAAATTATATTATAGCAGCATCATTGTCAAAATATTTAATTTTTGTGAGGCCGACTTATATTAAACTATATTATCATATAATCAAAGTAAAACTCAGTTATATTAAAGTTAAAAGAGGGTAAAAATTCATACATATATCAAAAAAAGTCAAAATAATTAATACACGATATTTGTCCGAAAATACATTCAAAAATACTAAAAAATAATAATACATCCCAATATAAACTATTGGATATGTCTAACTGCTTGCCTCCTCCGGCACCTGCACTGCACATATTCTGTAACTTGGCAATCATTATATCCACGAAGGCCAACTGGGGAGAACCATCCTCAAAGAGTCTGACCTTTATGCCTCCTCTATCCATCTCTGCCACACGCTGACATACAGTCGTCGCGCTCTCTGTCTCCTCATCCCGAACCTCAAGTACCTCCTGGTTAGCTGACCTAGGTGGTTCTCTAGAAACGTTTGACATCATGATATTCTATAGGACCATGGCAAGTAGTCATCGAACAAACCCATTGTACATGAGTTGTGGCTCCCAACGATACTCCTCTGGTAGTAGGTGACTCTCAAAATCATCAAATATCACATATAGGTATCTGTGGGGGACGGCGAGAGGAGCGAACTCATGGGGAGGTCTTAGAATAATTTACAAGTAGTCAAATTGACGCTTCACTCGCTCAGACAGATAGGGGTACATAAGAGATGATCCACATCCCAACCAGTCAGAGTATAAGAAAATGACGTCGAACTGACGTGTCTGACGGTGACCCTCGTATGGACAGAAACAAATGTCATCTGACATCATCTCCGAACAAACATGTGATTGTCTCAACCATGACAGATACGTCATTTGTGCCCTAGCAATGCATGTTCTAATAGCCAATCAATTTTGTTTGCACCTTAATCTAATGTACTTAAAACAACTAATGTATCCTAAAAAACTAACTAAAAATCAAAACATAAAAAGATAAGAAAATTTGAAAAACTTACCAAAAGAAATTGATTGATAAGAATGAGCAATTGGATGTCATGAGATGCTGGAAAGAGCTCTAATGATATAAGTTTGATTGAATGGAAGCTAAAATCATTACATAGCTCAAATGACTTTTTTTTTATAACTTTTGAGAAAAATGGAGGAAAAGGAAAGGGCATGGCGCGGGATATTAAAGAAAAACGTCTGATGATACATCTTCATATCACCTACTAACTTTTGAATAAATAGTGTTTATAAATATGCATCTTTGAACATACTTTATTCACATACAGAGATACATCTCTAAATTATATTTTAACATCAAAATAGCATCTCTTCAATTTAGTCTGAAAAATTGTGAAAATAAATGCGTGCTTAAGACACTGTGGGCTTTTAACGGTGGTGTAAGATCACCCATAAGGGTGAAAAGCACATTTCCCTATAAATCAAATGATGATTTGTGTTGCATACAAAGAGGGGTATCAAAAAGTTGTTTTGGTTGTATCCAGCTAATGAATATGCATAAGTTAGAAAAGGTGGCTGTTTTAAGAATTGTACGTTTGGGAGTTGGGACCCTCGTCTTCAAGTTGTACCTATACATTTAATGATTAAGACAACAACATCTAGATGTATAACTCATACTCTTGCCAAGTGGTTTAGCCAAAACCAAGAGGAAACAGAAGTCAAATTTAGTGGTCTCCTCCAAAAAAATTGGAAAATACAGGGGCCTGTTATTAGTGATCCATGTTATTTGTTTCCACAAATTGTATATTTTGTGACAATTGTATATTTAATTTAAGCTATAAAAAGATCTGATAGTTTACAGGAATAGTTGAACATATAATGCCCGTATATAAATCTACCATATTCTAATTTTCCCAACTAAAAAATAAATAAGAACATGAAAGATCAGGCTGAATATGATCAAAACAAAAGGCTAATAAATTTGCAGCAACAGCTAATACATATTATTAAACCCACATTAGGTAGAGGTAATATTGATCTTATTTGTATCTTTGATCACCTCTTTGTCAACTCTTTGTTGGTCAGGGGTAGCAAAACTTGGTTGATTTGTCGACTCAAGAAGTCTAGCCCACATCCTACCTTTCACCTCAACTGTATTTGGTCTCTCTGTCACACGCTGCAACAAGATGTTCTATGATCAGCTGGTATACTACAAAATGTAATGGAGACGAGCCATCCAAAACATAATGAGAAATGCAATGACTTTTTCCAGTGTAGATACATAGTTATAACAAGATACATCTATATTTTCCTTAATGCATGCCAAAATGTACAAATGAAAAAAAATTATTTTGCTTATGTAGAAGACTGTCAAATCAAATAAAACCATAACAACAGAAGGTTGTTTGTTAGAGATGTATCCTGGGAAGTATTAGGAAAGATTCACTTATCCTAATAATGCTTATGCATCTGGAATAGAATAACGCTTATGCATTTGGACTAGTTTATTTTTTAGATGATGTGCATGAATGCAGATCAGGACACCGTGCAATTCATTAAATTCCTTAATTCAATAGCGGTTTCATATCCTCCCATAACCCTTGTTGTTCATTCTAGGAAGGTTTTCCATTGGATTATAGTCTCTTATACTACGTAGAAACTAATAACCGGCAGCCTGATCAGTCTAGTACAGAAGAAAGTGCCAAGAAGAGATATTGTAGTTGGAAAATGTAAATGAGGTTAACAGAATACAAACACTTGTTTAGAAAATAATTTGGATGAAAAATAAACTGAGGTTAAATTTTAGCCGCAAAAGTAATATACTTGAATATAAACATGAGTTAATGAAATGAACCACTTACAGCGATTGGGAGATAAGCATGTCTACTGTTCACAGGCCCGACTGTGAAGCCAGAATATCCTGCCATAGCTCCATGAACAGCACCATGAGCAAGAAGAGTGCAGTAAATGTTGTCCGAGGCATTACTTGGAATAGCTCGAATCATGTATGTAGGATCTATGAAAGAAACACAAACAAAAGTTTCATAATAAATTTCAATATTTCATTAGAGAAGAAAAGTGAAAAGATTTTAACATAATTACTTGACAAATGTGCCCATATTAAGTTTTAAGAAATCAATCAAATCAAAAAGTTAGGTTGGATGAAAATAAATTATAAAATACAAAATATTTGTGTTGAATTTCTTGGAACTAGTTAAAAAAAGACAATAATTTGAAACTTACATTGTCACAAGTAGAAATTTGACATTGGTAACATGCTGCCCCCGGCATTAGTTGATTTTATATAGAAGAGAATGACTACTCTAATTGATTTCAAAATTTTCTACATATTATCTGGTTAAGAGGTAGAATCGGGGGTGAACATGTGTTGCAACTTGCAAGTGGACAAGTATTGTCGATGGCGGATGGTGGTCCAGGCGGAGAGCCAAAATTCCGCCATACCGGCCACTTGGTGGCAGGGTTATAGCGGATTATGGCAGAAAAATCCGCAATATCGGCCCAAAAACCGCCAAGTACATCTGCTATAGTGCCGCCATGGCTGATATTTGATAACATTGAAGTGGATCATTTTTTATTTTTATTTTTATTATTATTATTATTATTATTATTATTATTATTATTATTATTATTATTATTATTATTATTATTATTATTATTATTATCATTATCATTATTATTATTATTATTATTATTATTATTATTATTATTATTATTATTATTATTATTATTATTATTATTATTATAATTATAGAAGTACTTTAGTTTTTCAAATTTATGATGGTCATGTCATCTATCTCTCTCTGTCCTCCCCTGCTCGGGTTCAGCAGCCCCATCCCCCTAGGTCTCCGACTTCCTCCACCTCTTCAAGAACCTCTGTGTGAGAGATTGTCTTGCCTCAAGATTCCTAAAGCATAAACTCCTCAAGAAGACCGTCACTATTGTCCCCTTTACTAATTCATGTTAAATCTGCACTCCTTCATAAACTCCTCTATATTTCCCTTCAATCTGATTTAGTAACATGTTAAATTAACTATAATTAGATTTTTAATTGGATAATACATTTTCATGGAACTCTTTATCAAAGATAAAGCTATTGTAAGTTGAAGGCAACATTCATTTAGGTAATCTAACATCATTAAAACAAATACCGAAGGACCGAAGAAAATCATGAACATACCTATATATTTCATATTTACCGCCATTTTAGGAAACTTTGTGAAATGATCCTGAAAAAAGTTGGTTGTATATTAAGAAACAAAATGAATAACTTTAAGAATGACAAAAAAAAAACATGTTTAGAAGTTAGAACTTGGGGAGAAATGAAAAGTAATGCTCATTAAAACGAGAAGACTGTTGCATTTGTTTGTACAAATAGCAACACTCGGTCAAGGGCAAGTCCAAAGTCTATACTGCTTTCATACGCATTCATATTCCTCTATTTGAAAGTATAGTTATTGACTGTCATTTCACTTTCTTTGGTACTATGAGAAAGAACGAATCAGAAAACTGAACTAGACTAAGAATACGGGTTGAAATAATTGTTAGTCAACAAGAATGAACTTCCAATCTCACACAAGTTCTATGATAAAAAATATTCAACAAAACTAAAATGAATTTAGCAAGAAAACTTCATAAGATTGTAAATAATATTTAACGTTATAGAACGGATCTTTTAGTAATAACTGATATTGGCATAAATGTGGTTCTAAAAAGAAATGCATAAAATAAAAGCTCTCTATAATGCACAAAATTCCAAATAATTCATATTTTAAACAAGTGTAGAGAAAAGAAGGAAAGATGTGCCATGCCTTGATCTTATTGGATAACCACGGACCAACATCACGAAGTAGCTTGTTCCCTGATGGATCATTTTCACCTACTGCATGCACTTCTGCAGCAACAAATTCCTGACCAGCTCCTTCTGCTACCACAATAACTAAATGTCCATTTTCTTTTAACCTCTGTTCGATAAACTCAAAAAGCCCGCCTCTTCCTTCCAAATAGAATGAAGACTCTGGAATCAAGCAGCAATCCTGTTGTAACTCTTGCTATTAGTAGAGTCCTATTTCTCTTTTGAGAAAATCAATTAAACAAGAGTTCTGAAGGGAGCCATGTGCCGAAAAAAATTAAATACATGATTAATAAAAAAAGAGAAACTGCAAGATATATAAAACAACTAATAAATTCTGCAACTGGTTGAACCCTTACCACATCTCGACTTGCTAAAGTTGCATACATGGCAATGAAACCTGCAGATGGAAGCTTGTAAAGCATTTTTCTGAAAAAAGAAATAGGATGCTTAAAAAGCTAATACCAATATTTCATTCATCATATAGTGCTCCCCTCTGTCATTTCAATGGAGAAAAAAATATTTGGACAAAATAGAATTTCGATAAAAGAAAAACACAACATAGAGAATTTATTGAGCACTATTTACCACTGTATCTTCCCATTAGCTTAACTATTCCAATTCCATTTTCAACGCTATTAACCTCCACATGTGCAGCGTTAATGGCTCTCTGGGCTTCTTCCACAGCAGTATCAAATCCAAAAGATTTGTCTATTACCTAGAGAAAACATGAAAAATATCACAAAATGTTTTAGCTACAAAACCGGCTTGTAGGGTGAGAATTGCCCCACTTATAAACACATGTTCAAGCCATATATTATCTGATGTGGGACTATTAACACACCCTTCACGCCCGGGACTGGATATCAGGAGCGTGGAAATAAATAGTGGGTGCCCCGATAGCGGAAACCTAATAGAAGGTCGCCTAACGGATCTTAAACCAGGCTCTGATACCATGTTACAATGTGCGGATTTGACCTAACTCATCCCTACAAAACCGGCTTGTCGGGTGAAGATTGCCCCAACTTATAAACACATGTTCAGGTCATATATATAAATTACGGCTAAGAAACTTACAGCAATATCATTATCAATTGTCTTGGGAATCCCAGCCACGGCCACTTGAAGACGACGTTTTTCAACTTCCTTCATCAGAGGATGCTCACATTATATTATTCCATAATAAAACTACATAATGGACCTGTTGAGAATAATTGATTACCTCATAAATGAGTGAAGCTCCTTTTTGGGTACCATCACCTCCAATAATGTATACCTAACATGCACAGATCCAATTTCCCATTAGTTGTCCATAATCTATTAAGCACCTAAAGCTACAAAATTTAATAAAATTTAACTATCAACTACCTGATTTATTCCTCGGTCCTCAATGTTATCGACTATCTTGTTGGTATCATGTCCTCCACGAGATGTACGAAGAAATGTTCCCCCGAGTTTATGGATATCATTAACCACTTTAGGTGTCAATTTCATGGTATTTTTCGAATAAAACCCTTTATATCCTTCCTGAATAAGTTCCAGGAGAAACATGGTGAATAATAAGAACTCGAAAAATGATCATAGAAGAGACTGGGAAACAGAGCTCACAGATTGGTTACAATGTTCAAAACCATACAACAATATATCCAGTCTATTTTCATTTTGAAGATAGATCGATTTATACTAATAAGTGTTATCAAGTTATATGTTGTTATGTTTTATATCAATACAGCATTGTTTTCTTAATGTGGCCATCATAATATTCATGATAGAAAGACAGGTGTTTTCCAAAAATAACCTAGTTTTCTAACTTAAGAAATTAAAGATTTCTAGCAAAAATCGTGTAATACTAGCTGTTAAGATCACACATTAATTAGAGATCCAACTAAAGTAGTCTTTACAAGACTTGGACAATCTACCCCCTTAAGCTAGCTTTTGATAGTTATGCTCATTCCGAATTCGAAAATGGTATCACGGCCTGGCCTAGAATATTATTAGACCCACGCACATTAGTCCACACTGCTCTAGATAACCAATCTTGCGCATGAAGGGATGTCTTGAGATCCCATGTTGAGTCGAGCTATAACCAAAATAGTCCTTATAACTTATTGTAAGAGTAAAATGTAATTTGAACTAGTTTTTTTTCTAGAGTTGTGCAAGTTGGCAGAGCTGTTTCAATTCCCTATCTTAGAATGTGTGGTTTGGGCCTAACTCGACCCTACAAAACCGACTTGTGGGTTGGACCTATCTTAGAATATTATTAGACCCACGCACATTAGTCCACACCGCTCTAGATAACCAATCTTGCGCGTGAAGGGATGTCTTGAGATCCCATGTTGAGTCGAGCTATAGCCAAAATAGTCCTTATAACTTATTGTAAGAGTAAAATGTAATTTGAGCTAGTTTTTTCAGTTTTCTAGAGTTGTGCAAGCTGGCAGAGCTGTTTCAATTCCCTATCTTAGAATGTGTGGGTTGGGCCTAACTCGACCCTACAAAACCGACTTGTAAGGTGAGGATTGCCCCCACTTCGACCCTACAAAACCGACTTGTAAGGTGAGGATTGCCCCCACTTATAAACACACGTTCAGGCCATATATTGTACGATGTGAGACTCTTAACACCCCCTCTCACGCCCAGGAATTGCGTCTGGAGCGTGGAACTAAATGGTGGGTGGCCCAGTGGATCTTAGACGATGCTCTGATACCATCTTAGAATGTGTGGGTTGGACCTAACTCGACCCTACAAAACCGACTTGTGAGGTGAGGATTACCCCCACTTATAAACACATGTTCAGGCCATATATTGTCCGATGTGGGACTCTTAACACCCTAGAAGTTAGTTGTTAAGTATGTATGATAACTCTTGGTTAATGTGTGTTGTCCATGGCGAATGGCGGTCCAGGGCGGAGAGCCAAAATCCCGCCATACCGGCTGCTTTGCGGCGCCGTTATTGCAGATTATGGCGGAATACCCCATAATAGCGGCCGATATTTACCATTGCGGCGAACTCAAAAACCGCCATGTATATCCACCATAGCGGCTATGGCGGGACAATTTGATAACACTGGTTAATGTAGGTTAAGATACCTAATATAAACCCTTGTAACTAACTTCGTTTCATCAACCAAAACAGAATTTCAAAACTAGTCTAGAATGCAATTTAGCATTACTTTTATCTTCTCTAAAACTTATAAGACTTGGGCAATCCTCACCCCTTAAGCTAGCTTGTGGGATGGAGTTAGTTAGATTTAGCCCAAATTGCAAAACTAGTTAGCAAATGTTTTGTAGCTTCACTCCTTTACTATTATAATTGTTATGTATTTTGTCATTTCATGCAATCCTTCCTCTTTTCTTGTTTATTTTCTATTGGTAATTTTTATCACGAGGATTTTGTATCCATCATTCTCTTTATACCTTTCTCTTCACCTTAAAAAAGTTATGTTTAAAAAAATAGATTAAAAACCACAAAATGACGTCTTAACTTTTTAACAAACAACAAAAATATTTGAATTCTACTATTTTTTTTCCAAATTTTATCTGAACTTTAATAATTTAAACAAATAGTATATGCTAATTCTTCAATCAACAAAAATAAGGGGTATTGTATTTTGTAACAGATAGCCAGAAAATTGTAATTTCACAAAACTCACCTCAATTCCAAGTACATCTTCAACTCCATACATGTTGTTCAAGCCACATACAATTTCCCTAATCACCGTATTGATTCCTGGGCACAATCCTCCACAAGTCACTATGCAAGCACGCACTTCTTCCGGCTTGAAGTAAACCTAATATTAAAAAACTCCATCAGCTTCTAAAGATTACAAACAGACATAGAATTTCATGTTTTAAACCTTTTCTCGAGGTCCAGCACGGCGAAAGTGAACTCCTCTAGGACTATCTTTCTGAACAACGATCTGAACATGGAACATTGTTAAATGAGAGCAAAATCAATCAGAAAAGAAAACATAATTCACAAACAAGGGAAAAGATTGGACCACTCACAGTTTGTGCAACTGCATCTTCTGGACTTACAAAAGTATTCCTGAAAGTTTAAAACAATTTAAAGAAAAATTCATATTAAAATAATTTAACGAAACAAGAAGTTGGGAAATTGAAGAAAATAAAAATCAATTAACAAGGTTCCAATCTAGAGTGCAAAACCAGAGACAAATTTGAAACAAAATGCAGAGTAGATTTACTTGACAACGGAATAAGCTTGCCGCTTTTGCAATGGATTTGGATATTGCTGCAAAATAGGAATTAAAGTAGTAACTATCAGAAATCAGCAATATGGTTAGAAGAAGAGAAGATGAAAAGCAACATATATTTCTTGGAAAAGGAAATTATTTAGCAAAGGAATGAAAATACATACGAGAGAACAAAACATCCTCCTGAGTCCAGACACTACTAAAAAGACGAAAAAAGTATAATCAAACACACAATATTAAAGAACTGTCCAAAACCTTTACAAATCGACCAAAATCTAGGGTATCAAAAACTCTATTTTGGTCTATCAATAATATGTGTCAACCATGATTGTCAAGATCTCGATCTAGATCTTAAAACCATAAGATTTTATAATCTCATTCGCCCCCACCGATCCTGATCTTAAGTAGAATTGTGTGTTGTAGCTAAATTGTGAAAAGAAAAAAAAACATAAAATCGTTGATTTTATGCGATCTTTGCCAGTTTTGGCCATGATTGGCCGTTTTCTGGCCACCGCCATTAAAAGGTGAGAAGGATGACGAGATGCAAAGGCACAACAATTACAGTTTGGCGGGAACGAACGTGTGCCTTTTGAAATGATAAAGTTTTAGATTTAGGACTTAGAATAAACATCTCACTTGTAGGGTTTGTTTTAACTAATCGACTTATGATAACTCTAGTAATTGACCAAATATGTCCCTAATGTATAACAAATGTTCCACATGGTAGTAATAAAGTATAAATACGATCTTGTAACACCCTCTCGATCTTACAAAAATAATTGGGTAGGATCTTCCGGTCATAGCTACGATTTTGCTATTCTCTCCCGATCTTATGTAAAATCTTGATCTTGACAACCTTGGTGTCATGTCAACACTCAACTCTCAATTCGGTACCTTTCTAATCAACATTTGCAATGAAGCTCATTAATCAATATATTCATCGATTCATTCCTTTTCTAATCACAAATTACCTTATATTCACCTCAGAATGAACAAAGTTGAGTAAAAATAATCAACAACTCACCATGACCATCATTGTTCACGTAAAACCCTACTATGAAAAACAATACAATCACAATCCAACCATACATCCAAAATATGGTAAATCCCTCCTTGATCAAAGAAAGTATAATATAAATTGAAAATAGTTGTATCAATATAGCTAGACCCTGAATTTCTTTCACCTGCCTATAACAATTAAACAATTAACTATACATTATTGCATAGTTAATTAAACTTAGGTTTTTAGTACAGCTGTAAATTGATCAACATAATACCACATCTTAATGAGTTGAAAATGCAGTGTTTATATAGGATGTGAATAGTTAGCATAATGACTATGATTATTGAAAAAAGAGTTTGAAAAGGAGAAGGTACCGGCAAATCGGGAAGGAAATTGGTGAGGTGTGGAACGTCTTCGAGGACGAAACCGTCGATCTGAGGTTGATTGGAAACCCTAGTATGTAAGAGTGGGAGATTGTTTTGGCGGGAAAACGGTGGTGGTGGGATTCGGATAAAGTGTCGGCGGTGGGAAAAGTGGGATCGGGATAGTTGCAGAGAGTTTGGATGGAGAGATAGCTGATGGCGGGGAAAGGAAGAGTTGTTAGAGATATAAGAGAGAGTGAGAGAAAAAGAAGCGCGGAGATCCATTGTTTCCTTTTCTTTACGCTGGCAGATCAATACTGGATAACTAATTCACTCTATTCATTCAGATGTACTATAACTTAGGATCATCTCTATGAGTATGATGTGACACCCTCAATTAAAGAATATCTGTATGAGTTAGATTTGTATTGCTCCTTCCATCTCGTTTCATTAATCATCTTTTAATTGTTTTATTTCTTAATTACAAATATTTAATTTTTTAAGAAACAATTCCCTTCAATGTTTTTTATGTTATTGTTTGAAACACTTTTAATAAAGAGAGAAGGAGACAATGTTAGTTAGCATTAATCATATTTTGAAAAAATAAATATACAAATAACTATGTTTCTGAGTTTCAAAAAAAATGAATTAAAGAGGAGGCTCCACTTGAATTGGCGCCTCCTATATATTTTTTGAACATTTTCGGTTATCTCAGATTTTCCTGCAGATTTGACATTTCATGTGTACTTACCTGCGGATTTTTTCTATGGAATTACCTCCGGGATAAATGTCCGCAGATAAATTCACAAGTAAATCTGCAGGAAAAGTCAAATCTACGGAAAAAAGTCAAATCTGCAGAAAAATCCACAGGTAAATAGAAAAATTTGAAGAAAAAAAATTAGGAGATGGCTAGGCGCCATCTCACTTTGCGCCTCCTTAAGAAAAATTAATGCATACGTCATCTGAGATGGCTACTGCATTATAACGTTTTCTGAAACATAGTTATTTGTGTATTTTTTTTCAAAACATGGTTATTGTTAAAAAAATTCAGAAAGAGAGAATAATAAAGAAATAAGGATTATATTATTCACTTAAATTATTTTTTTTACAAATGATTATACAAACTATGACTATTTATATACAATCTAATTGGGTTTGGGCTTTCTACGTTACATTATATTTGATATTATATCTAATATCTCAACATATCCCTATAATCCAAGTTGTCGAACATACGCGAATCATATTCGATCTGAACTATTCATAATTTCTTTCTTAAATTCAGGAATTTGCTGATTTTCAATCCTTTGATGAAGATGTCGGTCAACTGTGCTTCACTTGAGCAATGTCTAACTTCAAGTTCACATTGATTTACCTTATCCCTTAAGAAATAAAATCTAGCTTCAATATGCTTACTCCTTTCATGTAGAACTGGATTTTTCGCCAGGTTTATGGCTGACTTGTTATCGATTTGCAACACAAGAGGTTTCTTCTTTTCAACCTTCATTTCTTCAAGTACGGATTTGATCTAAATTGCTTGACATACAGCATAGGATCCTACCATATATTCAGCTTCACACGATGATAATGCCGCCACATGTTGCTTTTTCGAGCACCATGATATTGGGACACCAAAGACTTGAAAGAAATATATCTAGTTGTGCTTCTTCGATCTTCCTTATCTCCACACCAATCAGCATCTGAAAAAGAAGTAAATGTCGCTTCTTTGCTTTCAGAGATTCGTCGAAATTAGTATTTCACAGTTTATCGATCCCTTCAAAGATCTCAGGATTCTTCTTGCAGCCTTCATATACAACACCCTTGGTTCACTCATGTATCTGCTCATTAATTCAACTGCGAAACCTATATCAGGTTGAATGTTACACACATATCTCAGAGATCCCACAATTTGTTTGAACAAAGTTACATAGACTTTGTCTTCCTCTACATGCTTCTTCAACTTCACATTTGGTTCGACAGGTGAGGATACATGATTCAAATCATCCATTCTGAATCTTTTGAGTATATCTTTGACATACTTCCTTTGATGTAACACCATACCTTACTTCGAAATTTGAAATTCCATGCCTAGGAAATAAGACAATTTTCCTCGATCTGACATTTCAAATTCCTTCATCATCAGCCCTTTGAACTTCGAAAAGTTCTTCAAGCTATTTCCTGTTACTAGCAAGTCATCAACATATAAGCAGATGATTGCTATATCTTATGCTACAACTTGAATATAGACACCAAACTCTGATTTGCATTTGACAAATCCCAATTCGACTAAGTATGAGTCGATCTTCTTGTTGGATGCCTTAAGTGCATGCTTGAGGCCATAGAGCGCTTTGTGTAACTTATAGACTTTACTCGCTTCCTTCTGAATCACAAACCCAAGAGGTTGTGTGACATAGACCTCTTCATATAAAGTATCGTTCAAAATGTTAACTTCTCATCTAAGTGAAATGTCGACCAACCTTGGCTACATTCCAATGCTACCACTAGTCGAATAGTCTTCAGTCTTGCTACTAGAGAAAATACTTCAGATTAGTCGAGTCATTCTCTTTGAAGAAACCCTCGAGCTACTAATCTTGCTTTATGTCTTACTATCGACCCATCAGCATTGTGTTTCAACTTGAACACCCGCTTTACTTTGATAGCTTTTGTATGTGCTGGAAATTTGACTAACTCCCATGTATTGTTTCTTTTAATTGCTTGTAACTATTCGACCATAGCAAACTTCCACTATTTAATCTTCAAAGCCTCATTATAGTTTATTGGTTCAGCACCTGCAAGTAAAGAAGAATGAACTAATTCTCCATCTGGTGTGACTTCATCATCACCAGTTACTTCATAGTCTTGAAGTATTGTTGGATGAACTTTAGTTCTTGGAGGTCTTTGGCTTGTGCTAGTCACACCCTCTTCGACTTCGACTGTGTCAGGAATGTTAGCAACTTCTTCGACTTTAACTAGAATATTTTCAATTTCTTCGACTTCGAATTCATCAGTTTCTTTGTAAAAATTATAGCTCATTAATGGCTTGTTAATTGCATCATTAGAATTCCAATCCCAGGTGGAATTTTTATCAATCACAATGTCTCGACTCAACACAGTCTTCTCATTGATTGGATTAAATAACATGTATGCACCAATTTTATGATATCCTACCAGAATCATAGGTTCACTCTGTTGTACCCCAAAATTTGCCCTCTCATTCTTCAAGGCATTTCTCACAAGGATTCTCAAGGTTCAAGCTTGCACAAGTACTTTGGAATTTTCCAGTACCAAAATTAAAAGGAAACTGTCAAAAAGGGAGGAAACAGATAAAAATATTATTTTGACAAAATTTGGAGAAATACAAGTGTTCTTCATTTCAGCTCCTTCGATTGGCCTTTTGGCCTCTTTCGATGCAAGCTTGGCTTGCATCCTTCGAATGGGCATAGGCCTCTGGAACATTTTGGTTTAGATTCACAAGGAAAAAAGCCTCTTGTAATCTATTTCATTTCCAAGGCAAAAGGATCTCTTTTAGCATCCTTCGATTTGCACTTTTTGTTCCCTATATGCCTCTTTCGAATATGAACATTTTGTCCTCCTACATGCACCTTTCGTTTGGACATGTTGGTTCCCTTTATACAAGCTTCGTTTGAACATAGATCTTTTACATGTTGGCATGAAGTCACAAGACAGGGACCCTCTATGTACACTCTTTCGTTTGACCACATGTAACCTCTGGCATGCAAGCCTTCGATTGGACATGAGCTACCTTCACACAAAAGCTTCTATTGGAGTTTTGGTTCCCTTCGAATCAACATCTTTCAAACCCAACTCTGAATCCTTCGACGCAGTCTTCTTTAGTACATTTCTAGAACTCTTCGACACAAGTGGAAAATAGGATTTTGAAAGAACACTGATCAAATCTTTGGACCATGCTACATGATCTTACTTTACAAGCCTTAATGCTTGTATTTCACTCCATAATTAATTGCTTACATTTTGGATTAAGCTATTGTCCAGGTGATTAAGCCTTTGTCCATAAGTTTTTTGTATGAAAGTGAACTTGCTAGTACAAATCCTGTCCCAAGCCCATGCTTTGCTTAAATCCTGTTTGTACTTCACCATAAGTCAGGGAAGTCATCCCATTTTAACCAACAACTTCAGTACTTCACCTTGGGATCTTGGAAAATCTGACATAGCTTAATACTCACGTTTCAGCCAAGCCACATCTTTGTTTAAACTCCCAAACCTTTTCTCTATAAATAGAGAAACCATTGACAAAGAAAGGGTCGAGATTTTTGCTAGAGAGAAAAATCATAAAAATCCTCAAACACTCAAACTCTCCCATATTCTCAAACTCTCCAACATTCTCAAACCTTCAAAACTCTAAGATTTTTTTCATAAAAAGCCTCAGTAGTGTACCTTTCGATTTACTTCCCCTAGACTGTAGCAACCTTCGATTCACGCATCACCATCATATACTCTCTTTCGATTCAGTGACTGCCCAAACCAAGCAGTAACAAAACTAGCTTCAGGAAGATCCCAGTGAAGCTCTCTCCACCATTAAAAAAGTCACTTACAGCTCTTTCGACTAAACACTTCAAGAGGTAAGTTCTCTATAAACTTGGAATTCTTTCATTTAAACATCATATGCACATGCCAATAAAGAAAAATGTAGATATTTCTAGACCATGTTTTAGCATTCGATTCTGATTGTCCATATGCTGAAAACTCAACCTTAAATTAGTTATACTTTGGACTTTGAGACCCATTGTTTTTTGTGCTAACCCCTGGACTGTAGTTATGTTTGGATGTTGCATTTTAAGAACTTGAAACAGGTTTGTTATACCCTTCGATTGGCTAGCTGCACAAGCCTTTCGAATCACAATTTGAGGGCCTAATATGCTTACAAGGAGTCAGCAAGGAGCCTGTGGAAAAGCCAGAACCTTGTTGTTTCCAGGCCTCAGACGAAAGCCAAAACCTTACTGACTCCAACCCCCAGTCGAAGGAGACAAAGGAAAATTGAAGGGCATGACTCCACTGACTCCAGACCCCAAATCGAAGGAAACCAAAGAACACAAAATCGAAGGGTGTTCCTGCCTGAGTCGAAAGACCTTTTTTTTCTTGCCTTTATTTTATTTTTGCCTTTATAATTTCATGCTATTCAATATGGTTGTAATAGTGTAGGGTTTTATCTTTTTGCATTTTATTATTTTTGTATGCTTGCTAGTAAAATAGGAAATGTATGGCAAGATAAAATCAATAAGTAGACAACCCCTAATCAAAGACTA